GTAAGTGCGGTTAATGAACTAGTTTGGGTGGTTTCTTATTGAAATTGGTTAAGGGAGGAAGAGATTACCATTATAGAGCTTTATAGTCTATTTTGCATACTAGGTGTTTGACAAAATTTCTAAGAGAGTTACATCATGTGAATCCTTATAATTATTATTTGATTTTATCTATCTTCTTATAGATTGTTATGGTTAGAAGTATTGGGACGTTGTAGTAACTTAAGGAAATCTTAAGGTATGTTGGCTAAACTACTCTCTTAGAATTGAATTTCATGATGTTCTCTTAAGTTTAAAGTATGGTTGGCTAAATTTGCTAATTGCTATATTCCAGGTTATCCTTTATAAACTTGACTATTCTGAAGGTTATCCTTTATAAAATTGACTATTCTGAATTAGCCTTATGTCGAAAGATATATGTTCAAAGTATGGGTTGTGTATTAAAATGTTATGGATTTGAGTCTTGTTTTAAATGAAAGTTATGCTTATGGCTAATGGTGCCACTGAAATAAGATGATGTGAGAAAGATTATGAAATGGGATTTGATATAATTGTTCCAAAATTATTTCAAGAAAAAAATTTGCTTAAAAGCTTATGTACGCAAGTCATGCCCATACGTGGCTATTTTAAATAATGATATGCTTTGTAAGTATTTTCCATGTGTTTTGCGTTCTTACATATTTGTGAGTGGAAATTGTGTATTTCCCTCTTTAGGAAAAAGTATTTCAAGAATAAATTGTGTGCTATTTGTTTGTGATTTTAACTTGCGCTTCAATTGCCAATCATTTTATTCCATTTCTTGGAAAGAAACCTATTGTGCTTAAATTCTTCATTTTCAATGAACCTAAAGTTGTGATTTCCGGGATATTATATATGTTGATATTTTTGATGATGAACCATGGAAGGAAAGATATGAAAGTGTGAAAATTGAAATACGGCCACCGTGCCTTGAATAAAGAATCTTGTGAATGGCCAAAAGAGCCAAGGAAATATTGTTGTTGTGATTGATTAAAAATACTAGTGGAGATTTATACAATGTGAAAGATGATGAGGTAAATATATTTTTGCTTTTGTTTCCCTTGTGTGCAAACCAAAAATATTTTTGAGAGTATCATTATTAGATTGAGGAATGGTGGGTCATAAGGCCCATAACCGAAACTACATGTATCGGTGTAGGAGTGGATTACGATTATTCCCCTTATTTGGAATGATATTATTCCCCTTGATTTGAATGAGATTGAAAATAGCTGTGATTTGGAAAGGTCAACCCATACGACATATGTGGGGAGGCGGCCTAGCTGATCGGGTGGAGATTGGACGCCATGTTACACACATGGTGGCACTACTCTTGGTAACACCTTTCTTTTGCACTACATGTCAAACCACATTGTTCGTGGGGAGATGGCCTAGCCGATTGGGTATGATCGGACACTGTGTTAAAAACACGATGGTATATAGGTACTAATGATCTCCCGACCAAAAATTATATATTATTTTTGTATTTTAAAAATTCTTATGTTTTAACTAGGCATTTGGATATTGTTGATTATGACTTGCTGCTTCTCTGATTTCCCTTTCTTATATTGACATTCTATTTTGAAAGAGGACAGTTAGATTTGCATACTAGTACTATTCCATATGTACTAACGTCCTTTTTGCCGGGGACGCTGCATCTTCAATGGATGCAGGTGGTTCATCAGTGAGCAACTTTGGTCCTCGTTAGCAGCTACTCCCTATTCAACAGGATTTGGTGAGCCCTACTCTATTCCGGGCCTGATACCATTTGATGTTGTACTTTGTGTTTTGAGGTATAGCTCGGGCCTAGATGCCGGCATTTCTATATTACTCTTCTGTTATACTTAGAGGCTCGGGTAGGCAGGTTGTGGGTGGTGTTTGATGTGGGGAATTGAACTAGAAGTGTTGGTATTTGGCAAATATGTTTTTCATTCTATCTATAAACTTGTAATATTTTGGAAATTGTTAATGAAACTGCTATTGGAAATGATATGGGAGTTGTTAATAAAGTCTTTTCAGTGTTTGATTAATAGAGTACATCTCTTCTTTATTTATGGATGAGTTTGGGAAGAAGAAAATCTAACAGGCTTGCTCGGCCGGGTTATCTCGGCTGAGCACCAGTTGCACTCCCCGAGGTCGAGGCGCGACACTTACCTACAAGGTAATTGTGAAATTGCTCTTCAAAATCTCCTCTTCTCCAAGTCTAAGGATCAAAATATGAAGCAATGGGTTAAACTCCAAAATTAAATCTTAAATAAGTCATCTCAGTGGTACCCTTTCCGAACCGAGAAAAAGCCTCGCGTTTGGGAAGCAAAAAGCTGCCTCATACAAAAATCCTCATTTGCGAATGTGAAACCTAGATTGCAAACACGATGACCAGCACGCCCAACACATCATGAACATGTACGTGCCCGAAAATGCAACACATATGGCTCCCACCTCCTAATCGTCCTATACGAATGTTGTCCAACACACGCAAACGGGAAGACCTTCATGCACACACCCTTTACGAATGCGATCCTTTATCACGAACGAAATTCACAAAGCCCTCCAGCTCACCTACATCTTCGCGAACGCAATACAAGGCTCGCAATCGTGATGCGTTACTTGACACCAGCAGACTAGCAATCCAAATATTATCCAAAATGGTCTGAAATCATCCTGAAAGTCACTCGATCCCTTTGGGACCCTAACCAATCATGCCAGTAAATCCATATAGATTATCCAAACTTCTCAAAAAGCTTGAAGCATCATAAATTACATCAAAATGGCGAATCGAAGATCAAATCCATTCGTAAATTTTCAAACATTCAAACTTTACTGAAACCGTCTGAGTCACACTTAGACATTACGAATCAAAACTAAATTTTACACCCAAGTCCCAAATATAAAAACAAACCTATACAATGTCTAAAAACCACGATAGAAGTCTAGAGACACCGAAGTCAATTCCCGGTCAAAACTATAAACTCTCAAATTCTTCAAATTGTCAATTTTTCGAAAAGTAGAGCTGAAAACTTCGAGGGACATCCAAATTCAAATTCGAGCATACACCAAAGTACAAATTACCATATGTATCTATTAAAGCCATTAAATCTTGATTATGAGGTTATTTACTCAAAAGTCAAATCTTGGTCAACTATTTCGGTTGAATGCTTTCAAAGTGTGAATCATTGTATCAAATCAACCCTGAACGCAAGTAATAATACATCACATGAAGCTTCTCAAATCACACAATGTAATGCCAAAATACAAAATGTTCAGTCGGGTCGTTACATCTTTTCATGTGTTCGATGATTCCATGAATGTTATATTTTGTACTTCCCTGATAAGATAAGTTTCATAAGATTATTAGTAGTCTTTTGCTTTACCCATAAAGTGTATATTAGCCATATCGACACGTTTAGAAACACTTTTGTAACTCGACGAATGCTAGCTAGAGTTGACATGAGAACTGTATGTGCTTTGTATTTGTTGTATGTTATAATAGACATTATGAATAGGTCCAGTGGACTGGTAGTTACAAGTGTGCTAGCCTGGAAGATACTGGTTTAATAACCTGGTAGGTATGGACTCAATAGTCCAGGAGATATCGGCTTGATGTTTGAGAAAGTATAGATTCACTAATCCGGTAGCTAGCACATACGTACGATATCGTTTTGTGATATATCATTTAGATGATGTGTTTGTTACTAGTGCGGTTCCCAGTCATAGGATGTGGGAGTTTTTCCACAGCCAGAGGAGTATGGGTGATGTGGGTTCAGCTATAGCATTATCATCATCAGCGGCACCTCCTCCTGGCCTCCGGGATAGAAGAAGGAATTGGGTATCGAGCAAGAGTGGTGACCAGGATCATATGTATGGCTTAGAGGACCAACAGGGTCATAATCCACCGTACGATGATGATATGGGCAAGTTATCAAATATTTTCTCATTGTAGTATAGCATGATGATATCCCTATTGTTGGTTGTTGTTATAGTTTCGAGATTATGTTATTATCTTGAAGAGTTAAGTTATGGAAGATCATTTGGGATTAGAGAGATATATGTAGGATGAATCATAAATAATAGTTTAACACCGTTTATGACTCGAGGAAGTCGAGCCAATATAGTTATATTATGTTCAATTGAGAGTAAGAATAAGTAAGTTGAGCGACCTAGAAGTGTACGGTTCCCGTATAGATCTCTACCAGTCACATATTTGCTACTGTTCCCCTAACCACTGATGTCATATATGTAAGATAAACTAGAGCTAAGCATTTTCGTATTCGTAAATTTAGTCTTCCTCAAAATTGTAGCCTGGCATTTAAGGATAAATATTCAAGGGGTAGGAGGATGTTATATCCTGCATTTTTTATACGTTAAGCTGCATCACGAGTTAGTCATCATAAGCTCGGAGAGCTACACTATTCCTATGTTTATAACCCGCTGACATCCCGGCAAAGAGAGTCATTTTTTGTGTTACATCTTGGAATTCGAGAGAGGGCTTTCCTCTTATCTCTCAAATTATAGGCATTGAAGGGATTGAGATAAAGTAAGAAAACTATTGCACACGCCCCCCCATTCGCCCTTTAGTAATATAATAGAAGGTAAGGCAAAAGCAAGAGTGAAACTATGAGCTAAAAGCAGGTGTGCCTCTCTTAGAAGAGAATATGATACCATCTGCAAAATAAGTGATTATGGTTATGTTTAGTACGTTTAAGAAGGATTAGAGGTCAAGTTAATCAAAGCGAGTGAATTTCCAACTTATGGAGTGACTTGTGGACTGTATATTGGAGGAATGGGCCAATATTATAACCCATACTTTTGGGGTAAGAATAGGTGTGCTTAACATGCTAAGAATGTCGTTTTATGAGCTATTTGAATTTCATAATACTCTTATATTATGTTTTGATGTCAAGCAAGTTGTAAAACAAAAGCCGGCAACAGTTATCGCAAGTTATGTTCATAAGTTTACTGAAATTTGGGCCTGATGTCAATGAGATTTTCTCCCAATATACTCTGAGTTGCAGGGTGATCCACACACAAAATTGAATTTCTTTGATTTTAGTTTCGAATGCCGCAAACAATTCATCGATAAAACATTGGAGTAAAATGAGATGCCCGTTTTACTACAAATGTGCGTAGCGCCCAATTATTGTGGAACATGTGGCACCCAATGTTAAGTCGGCCAAAGCTTGTTGTTTTCCAGCTAAAACTTCAAGATTTCACTATCGGTTTTCGTTGAAGACCTCATCGTAAATAATTTTCTCCATTTTCTCTCCTCCTCTCACTCTCCAAGGTCAAAGTAAGTGATCCAAATATTTTACTAGTAAAATGCTTCCTCAAGAACATGAATCTTACACTCAGTCCATCTTGGTTTTCTTTCAGAAACGTTCAAGTGATGAATTATCAGGGAAAAAGAAACCGAGGTAATAAGATTCTTCTAACATATATATATGGATTCAAATAAGTATTGTAAGGTGTTTTTCGATAAGAACTCACGGGACGGTGATCGGAAGCCGTGAGTCCAAGCTTTGTGATTCATATGTGATATGGAAGGGGAAATTTTGTATGTTGTGGTTTGTGGATTGTTTTTGTAACCTCATAAGGAGGTTTTTGTGTTTTTTTAAGTTAGAAAGAACGAAGGGTGTGGTGAAACACCATTATGAAAGGGCCTTAAAACCATACGCCCACCAAATGTTCGACGAATTGTCTTAATGTCTTTAATAGTGTTTGGTTGCTAACATGAGGTTTCTTTTATTGTGAATATTATACATCAAAATTTTAAAGGAGAGACTTGATCGTCGTAGTATTACAACTATTAGGAATGAGGTATGTTAAGTCTATTCCTTTGTTTCTTTAGCATGAATTCCAAACAACTTTCCTTCCAAGTGTGCTTCCAAGAAGTAGAACCTCATAGATGCTTTATTCGCGTGTCCGATGATTCCATGAACATTCTGTTTGGTACTGCCTCGATAAGATGAGTTTTTTATGATTATTTTTAACCTTTTTATTATCCTAAAAAGTGTATATAAGTCATATCGACACACTCAGAAAGTCTTTCGTAACTCGACGAATGTTCGCTAGAGTTGACATGAGAACTTTATGTGCTTTGTATTTGTTGTATGTTATGATAGACATTGCGAACATGTCCAATGCCTGATAGTTACATGTGTGCTAGACTAGAAGATACATGTTTGATAACCTGGTAGTTACCGACTCGCTAGACCGGGAGATATTGGCTTGATAGTCGAGAAAGTACAGATTCACTTATCTAGTATCTAGCAAATATGTACGATATCCTATTGTGAAATAGCAAAATAGTTGTTATGTGATTAATCAACATGCACACTATTGATTTAGATTATTTGTTGGTTTGGGTATTACTCCCAAGGGCCCAACATAACGAGATTATGGACGTCGAGACATATCCAGGTTGGTAAGAATATAGTATATGCCTTGCAGGTTGCCTTGTAACTTGAGATGTAAGTTCAGTTGTTTCCTTCAACATTCCTTCATTTGTGTGTTCTACTTACATTTGCGTATCATGTTTCCTTATTTATTTAGTACATTCTTTTGTACTGATATCCCTTTGCTAGGGATGCTGTATTTTATGCTACAGTTTTAGATGATAGATGAACCTCGGAGTAACAAATTTCAAAGTTCAGCAATTGATCATTAAGACACCATATCAACTGGAGTGCATCCGAGTCTATACATATTTTGTTTTGTTTATGTATAAAGACTTTACGGGTAGGCCGAGGCCCAGTACCAACCACGTTACTTTTGTCTGATACTCTTAGAGGCTTTTGCAGATACAGATATACATGCGGTCAGTTATACTATTTTATATGGTGGATTTATAGGCCCGTGTAGATGAGCTTTTTGAAGTTTTTTATATATCAATGTAATGATACTCATGGTGGACTTGTCGTCCCTTATATGCATACCATGGATTGGTTATGGGTTGATGTCATATGTTACGACCTTGTCCGCCTAGTTATTTATGGAAACAATATGGTACGTGATTTACAGGTTATATGTTCAATCATGTTAGGCACCAGGTGCCAGTCGCATCTCCCTAGGTTTCGGGCGTGAAATGGGACAAAAATTAGTTAAGATTAGTTTTCCAGGGAGATCCGCATTCGAAAGAAGAAAAATGTAAGGCCTCAGAAACTTTCGCTAAGGAATTTAAGGTTCCGTGGTGCCAAGGTAGGCTAATTTATTGTATTTTCGGACTGTTTAGGTTGAACAGTATGTTGGGGAGTTGAATCATTTCGACCTCGCAAAGCCAGGTCTATAGCACGCTAGACCGTGTTATACACCCCGCGAAGCCAGGGCTGTAGCACGCTAGAAAATGATATAGAGCTCACGGCGCAAGGTCTGTAGCGCGCTAGACCATGCTATAGAGCTCGCAGAGCAAGGTCTGTAGCACGCTAGACCGTGCTATAGAGCTTACAAAGCCTGGTCTGTCTCCCGGTTCGTATTTTGGAGGGTCCATTTTTCTATCCTTATAACCAAACCCTATCTCGATAAATAGACATAAGGAACCATTTTTTTAAGGAAATATCTGATATTTTTAGGGAGAGGAAGTGCCCTAGAGTGAGAGGAGAATTCCCTAAGCTAGTTGTTCATCAAAATCTTGCTCAAGCCTTGAAAATCAACAAGAAACCTCACAAGTTCTTCATCTAAGAGGTAAGGTTCCATACTCTAGTTTTCAATTTTTAATTTGGGTAGAAGATGGTTGATTGAGAGTATGATTCTTGGGTGTAAGATTTTTATTTATACATGCTTGTACCAACAAGGTTTGTCAGAAGATTTTTGAGCTCAAATAAGTAAATACTGGATTGTGGAATGAAGGAAATCTTGTAGAAGAACCTTGTAGTCAAATTTGCACACCTAGTTTTTGATAAAATGCTCAAATGAGCTGAAACCATTTATATTTTCCTAATTTGTGTTCAATTTTGTTATTTCTCAAAATAGATTGGGATTGCTAGGATTTTTAGAACACTGTAGTAATTTAAGGAAAGCTCAAAGCAAGGTATGTTGGCTAAACTTCTCTCCTAGAATTGAATCACATGATGTTCTTGTATTTGAGATTGGATGTTTCGCAGCCTAGTCGGGTCATCACTTGTGTTGTGGCACACTCATCATTGTTGGATCGTATCAAGGCTTACTAGTTTGATGATCCTCACTTGTTGGTGTTAAGAGACACGGTGTAGCGGGGTAGTTCCAAGGAAGTTGTGATTGGGGATGACGGTGTTATGCGGCTTTAGGCCTTAAACATGCCTCATGAGGGTCATACAAATGATGGGACTTTGGTAGAATACAAAGAAGCAACTGATGACTGTGGTGTGGATATGCAGATCCAAAAAACTGGAGAAAAAGATGTGTAGAGGAGTTTGAAGGTTGCTCAAGTTCTAGGTGATGCCGGGAGACAGTATAGGGGTGTAGGTGTTGAGCAAGTCAAGAAAAATGCAATTAGAGATGATAAGTGATTGAAGGATATCCCAGCCTCCACTGTTTTTGCGAGGATGTATAAAGCTACTGCTGGTGCTTTAACAACTGCTGCTGATCAAGCTGTTACATCAACCAAGCGTTATGTGGTACAACAGATCGCTGGGGAATCTGGTATTCAAATTGGTAATGATCGAGGAATTATGCATGAACAACCAAGTGCTGAATTTGCAGGTTCTAAATCTACATCAGTGCAACAAAATTCTCAGTTTTCTGAGGGGGGAAAAGCTGGCTGCTAATGATCCTTATTTTCAAGCTAGGATTACAGCTGTGAAATCTGCCTTACTATAAGGCCCCGTTAAAAATTTCCTAATGATTTAAGATTTTAAAGTGCGCCAACGGTATTTGGGAATAACGTGTTCGAGTATTAAAGGAGACCCATGGGATATAACCACATTATTTTGAAATGAAAAATATATGTTTAAGGTGTGTTGAAACATACTACGGAATTTTGTGAATGGCAAGAATTCATGTGGAACAAGTTGGATACCTTAAGTGGAAAGGATGTCTCAATTCGTACAAGATACTACTTCAAACGCATGCTGCTACCAAACTATAACGACTTAGGAGGTGATATACCTATCAAATTACAGCCCTTTGAGTCTAGTTTCTAACGCTTCAAAACGTTTGTCATTTGGACGCTCCTACAAGAACTTCTATTCAAATTCCGAAAGGCTGGAAGAATGTGACGGTGCTATAACCCTCGCGAATCCAGGTCTGTAGCGTGCTAGACCATGCTATAACCCTCGCGAAGCCAGGTCTGTAGCGCGCTAGACCGTGATATATCCTTCGCGAAGCATGTGTCTGTAGCTCGCGGCAGAGCTCCCGGAGCCTGGTCTGTAGCTCGCTATAGACCGTGCCAAACCTGGTCTGTAGCCCGATCCAGATTTTTGAGGGTCCATTTTTGTAATTTAATATCCCGACCCTAGTTCCTATAAAACGATCTTAGCGCTATTTTGGAGGGATAATCTGATATTTTTAGTGAGGGGAAAGTCCCCTAGAGTGAGAGGAGGAATTCCCAAGCCCTTGTTCATCAAATCTTGCTCAAGCCTTGAAATCCAACAAGAAATCTCTCAAGTTCTTCATCTAAGGGGTAAGGTTCCATACCCTAGTTTTCAATTTTGAATTTTGGTAGAAGATGGTTGATTAAGAGTATGATTCTTGGGTGTAAGAGTATTATTTATACATGCATGTACCAATAAGGTTTCTGGGAAGATTGTTGAGCCTAAATGGGTAAGGATTGGGTTGTTAAGTGAAAGAAATCTTGTGGAAGAAACTTGTAACCAATTTGCACATCTAGTGTTTGATAAAATGCTCAAATGAGATGAAACCACGAATATCTTCCTAATTATGGTTTACTTTTATTATGTTTCCAAATAGATTGAAGTTGCTAGAATTTCCAGAACGTCGTAGTAATGTAAGGAAAGCTCAAGAAAAGGTATCTTGGCTAAACTTCTCTCTTAGAATTGAATCCCACAGTGTTCATAAAATTTATGTAAGTCCCGAGTTGTTCATTATAAAAAATTGGCTATTACAAATAAGTTAGTGTTGAAAGATATATGTTCAATATGAATTCCGAATAAGCAAAATGCCGAGAATTATGTTTTCAAAACATGTTCCGAATGTTCCTATCACATTATGTTATCTTTTAGGAATGTGTTTAAGAATGATATGTGTATTGAAATGATATGTCTTTGAGTCGTGTTTCAAATGAAGGTTATGATGCCAAATTGTGTGAGAAAGTCTCAATATGCTTAAGACTCTTAATTGCTCATATGTGTACCTAAAGTCTTGATCGGAAATGTCTTATGGTTAATAATCTATAAAGATGATTGTAAGTGAAATAAGTGACTTGGGGATATAAAGTGTGGCCAACGCGCCAACAGTGAAAATTATACTTGTGGCCAATGGTGCCAATGAAATTAAATGATGTGAGAAAGGTTATGAAATGATCCTTGATTTAACTATTCTAAAATTGACTTTGAAAATAGAATTTGCCTAAAAGCTTATGAACTCAAGTGATGCCCATGTGTGGCTGTTTTAGCTAATGTTGTGCTTTGTGAGTATTTTCAATGTGTTTTGCGTTCTTATATATTCGTGAGTTGAAATTGTGTATTGCCTTTTTTGGGGAAAAGTTTTTCAAGAATAAATTATGTTTTACTTGTTTATGATTTTAACTTGCGCTTCAATTGCCAATAATTTTACACCATTTCTTGGAAAGAAATACATTGTGTTTAAAGCCTTCATTTCTAATGAACTTAAAGTTATGATTTCCGGAATAGTATATATGTTGATATTTATGATGATGATACATGAGAGGGAATAAATGAAAGCGTGGAATATACAATACGGCCACCGTGCCTTGAATAAAGAATATTGTGAACGGCCAAAAGAGCCAAGGAAATATTGTTGTTGTTATGGTTGAAAATACTAGTGGAGATTCATACAATGTGAAAGATGATAAGGTAAATACATTTGTGCCTGTGTTATTTTTGTGAATTATTCCCCTTATTTGGGATGATGTTGATGTGATAAAATTATTCCCCTTAATTTGGATGAGATTGATTGATAGAAAAGGGTGCTGTCGATCCACACGGCATTGTGGTGAGACATCCTAGCCGATCGGGTTGTGATCGGCACCATGTCGCACACATGGTGGTAATTGTGCTGAAAATTATGATTGAAATTGTGATTTTGGTTGATTTCTTCAAATAAGATAGCCTAGCCGATCGGGTCGTGATCGGAATCCGTGCTAGATTCACGGTGGTATATTTGCACATAGATTGTGATAGTGCCGAAAATTGTAATTTAAAATTTTGATTGTGGTTGATGTCTCTAATGAGATGGCCTAGCTGATCAGGTCGTGATCGGACTCCGTTCTAAAAGTACGGTAGTATTGGTATTGAGAGTGATTGTGGTTGATGTCTCTAATGAGATGGCCTAGCTGATCAGGTCGTGATCGGACTCCGTTCTAAAAGTACGGTAGTATTGGTATTGAGAGTGATTGTGGTTGATGTCTCTAATGAGATGGCCTAGCTGATCAGGTCGTGATCGGACTCCGTTCTAAAAGTACGGTAGTATTGGTATTGAGAGTGATTGTGGTTGATGTCTCTAATGAGATGGCCTAGCTGATCGGGTCGTGATCGGACTCCGTGCTAAAAGTACGATGGCATTGGAATGGTGAATATTGGTATTGTGAATATTGGTATTGTGAATATTGGTATTGTGAATGGTGATATTGTGAATAGTGGTATATTTGTGATAAAGATCTCCAAACCAAAAATAATATTATCATCATATTTTGATTATCACTTTACAGTGTTATCTTCGTATTTTGGAAATTATTATATTTTAACTTGACATTTGAATATCAGTGATTGTTGATTGTTGTTTCTATGGGTTTCCCTTTCATACATTGGCATTCTTTTTTGAAAGAAGATAGTTAGCTTTACATGCCAGTACTATTCCATATGTACTAACGTCCCTTCTGCGGGGGGCGCTGCATCTTCAATGGATGCAGGTGATTCAGCAGCGGGCAGCTTTGGTCCTCGTTAGCAGTTACTCCCTATTCGGCAGGTTTTGGTGAGCCCTACTCTATTCCTGGCTCGATGTCACTTGATGTTACACTTTGTGTCTTGAGGTATAGCCGGGGCCTTGTTGCTGACACTTCCATACTATTCTTTTGTCTTAATTAGAGGCTCCGTGGACAGGTTGTGGGTGGTATATGATGTTGGGAATTGAACTAGAAATGTTGCTATTTGGCAAACATGTTTTTCATTATATCTATAAACTTGTAATATTTTGGATATTATGAATGAAGCTACTAATGGAAATGAAATGGGAGTTATTAATGAAATATTTCCAGTGTTTGATTAATGGAGTGTATCTCCTCTTTATTCATGGATAAGTTTGGGTAGAAATAAATCTAACAGGCTTGCTCGGCCGGATTCACTCGGTTGAGCACCGATCGCGCTCCCCGAGTTTGGGGCATGACACTTACAACCTTACACTAATATGGAAAATAGTGGTAATCATGCTAAAGAGCAAATTTAAACTGGAGGAAAAGAGCAAATACATGGGATTGGATATTAAAAATTAGGCAAAACCAGTGAAACACCTTCAAAAGCAGGAGCACAATTCTATGCACATGTACGGATTCCTTCAACTATGTCATTCCATGTCTCTGTTATGCAACCAGAATGTTATTCTCTTCTTAGAGATCGAAGAACTACTGATCGTGTAGATGTTATGGAATTGGAGTATGTCATGTCTACATGTTCTAAGGAAGTGATTCGTGAGCCTACGCTTTCAAAGCTGAATACTACTGCTGCACTGAAAAAAGCTAGTGAACGTGCAACAACTAGGGTTGTTAAACCTACTGCTAATTTCAGAGATAAAGCATCGAAGTATGCAGCTTCCACGGGCAATATAGTGGGGAATGAAGAGGCTACACAACTACAAAATTCAACTGGAATTGTGAAGGCGGCACATGGGGAATTGAAAGCAACTGGTTCTTTGAAAACAACTGTGAATCAATCTAATCCTCAGCTAGTTCATTCGTTAGCTAAAGGTCCAGGGCGAGTACTTGATACTCCAATGAATTCATAGATGACTCCAGGAAAATCAAATACAATGCCACGACCCAAAATCCTAACCTGTCGTGATGGTGCCTACTCAATGCTAGGCAAGCCGACTATCTCAATAAACCACAATTTCTTAAAGTTTGAAAATATAATATTTAAATACAATACAAAATCCCAAAAATACTGATACGAACACTCTCCAAAACCTGGTGTCACTGAGTACATGAGCATCTAATATGAATACAAGTATGGAAAATACGATCTATAATAGTCTAAGACCAAATACAGTAAACAAGGAGATAAGGAAAGGAGAGACAAGGTCTGCGAAATATGGCAGCTACCTCTGAGTCTCCGGAAACTCAACTGCGTGAAAGGATCAACACCCGCTATAATACGGGAACATCTGGATCTGCACACAGAGTGCAGTGTGTCGTATGAGTACAACCAACTAAGTAACTAACAATAATAAATAAGGAACTGAAGATAGTGACGAGCTACACAGTTATAGTTCATTTTCAGTAATTCCAGCAAAGAGAAGACATGCTTTCAATTCCAAAAGTTTAAGTCAAATCAGTTTTATACAGTTCAAGTTCATGTAATCCGGGTATAAGATCTTTCAGAAAATTTCACATCAATGAAAGATAGAAACTAAGTGCAACAATAAATGAAAAGCAAGTGCAGCCTCTCAGGGAAACAGATACTCAACTCGTCACAACCACTCAACCACTCGGCTCTCAGCCCTCAGCACTCACACTCAATGGGTACCTGCGCTCACTGGGGTGTACAGACTCCGAAGGGGCTCCTACAGCCCAAGCGCTATAATCTGCACGGACAACTCACGTGCCATATTATAAATATCTGCATCCGCACGGACAACTAACGTACTGCACGGACAACTCACGTGCTATAGTATAAGGATCTGCACGGACAACTCATGTGCTATAGTATAAGGATCCACACGGACAACTCACGTACTGTACGGACAACTCACGTGCTATAATATCTCGCACGGATAACTCACGTGCTATAATATAATATCTCACAATCAGGCCCTCACTCAGTTCAAATCTCTCTAATCTCTCGGGCTCTTAATAATAATGAAACTAGCCCAAACAACAATGATATGATCCATCAATAACGAACAATAGAGACTGAGATAAAATAAACAAGTAAACTGTGACTGATTACAAAACAACAATTACGCAGGTAGTTCAACATGTACACGACCTCTGTGGGTCCCAACAGAACCAACATATAGCCTAAACATGGTTTCTAACATGACTTACAGTCAAATATCCACAACACATAGAGAACACATAGCTAACAACAAATTATTCAACTTTACAGTTTTCACGGGACGGACCAAGTCACAATCTCCTCGGTGCACGACCACACGCCCGTCACCTAGCATGTGCGTCACCTCCAAAGTAATCACATGATACCAAAATCTGGGGTTTCATACCCTCATGACCTGATTTATAACTGTTACTTACCTTAAATCGTAAAATTCTTATTCCGCTAAACATTTGCCTCCAAACGCATCGAATCTAGTCACGAATAATTCGATTCAGTCAATAACATTTATTGGAATTAATTCCATAAGAAATGCAAGTTTTACCATAAAAATCTGAAATTTAGCTCAAAAATCGCCCGTAAGGCCCATGTCACGGAACTCGACAAAATTTAAAAAATCTGAAATCCCATTCAACCATGAGTCTAACCACACTAATTTTACCAAAATCCAACATCAACTCGACCTCCAAATCATCAAATCTTATTTCCAAGTCCCTAAATTAAAACCCCCGATTTGCACCTCAAAAATATGTAATCTAGTCGGATTATTCGACGATAATTCAATAATATGCAGTAGAAATGATCACAAGGGACTTACCTCAAGTTCTCCCATGAAAACCTCGCTCAAAATCGCCCAACCCGAGCTTGACATGCCCAAAAATGGCAAAAGCTCGGAACTCCTCCAATTTTATTCTGTCCAGACCCTGTCGCACCTGCGACCAGATTAGGCACATCTACGGTCTCGCAGGTGCAACTAAATGCCCGCATCTGCGATCCCCCAAAAGGTTTCCTCCGCTTCTGCGCGTTCCTTTTCGCACCTGCGACCTCGCAGGTGTTGAAATTGCTTCGCACCTGCGACTACTGCTCCTCTTCATGTCTGGTCGCTTCTACAGTGGCTGGTGCGCACATGCGACTTTGCACCTGCGATCAGACCTCCGTAAGTGCAAAAATACCAGAAGAAAAATTTCAAGCAGTGGTCTTAAGTCCAAATTTGATCCGTTAACCATCTGAAACTCACCCGAGGCCCCCGGGATCTCAACCAAATATACCAACAAGTCCTAATACATCATACGAACATAGTCGAACCCTCAATCACCTCAAGAAACGCTAAAACCATGAATCATACACCAATTCAAGCCTAATGAGCTTTAAATTTCAAGTTTCTACAAACGACGCCGAAACCTATCAAATCACGTCCGGTTGACCTCAAATTTTGCACACAAGTCATAAATGACATAACGAACCTATTAAAATTTTTAGAATCGAATTTTGACCCCGATATCAAAAAGTCAACCCCACGGTCAAACTTTCCAAAAATTAAATATTTTGGCATTTCAAGCCAAATTTCACTACGGACCTCCAAATAATTTTTCGAACACGCTCATAAGTCAAATATCACCATACGGAGCTATTGGAATCATCAAAATTAAAATCCGAGGTCGTTTACACATAAATCCATATATGGTAAACTTTTCTATCTTAAAATTCTAAATTATGAGACTAAGTGTCTCATTTCACTCAAAATTCCTTCCGGACCCGAATAAACTAACCCGATAAGTCATAAATCAATTGTAAGGCATAAATTGAGCAGTAAATGGGGGAACGGGGCTGTATTACTCAAAACGACCGGTCGGATCGTTACATTCTCCCCCACTTAAACTTACGTTCGTCCTTGAACGTGCCAAGAGTTGTTCCAAGCCATCAAATCACTATTCCATCTTACTACTCGCATACCCGGGGGTGATCCCACGTCACCCTATTCCACATAGGCCTGACAACACAATACAACTGGAAATCCTTAATTTAGCCTTAGCCCAAAAACCTTGGAATTCAATTCTCAACCATTATAATTTCTTTTCAAGACACGAATCTTACATTTACACATTGTATGAGTCTAAACAAGCTGCATCGAGCTATAACTATAATCACGGATATAATCACGCAGCATATTACACAACTCGCCCGCTCCTAGCACCATACCTGATCACAGTAACTCCCCCAAACCAACCGAGTACTAGTACAAAATCCCGCAATCAACAGAACCTCATTCCACAACCTTCGTACACTGCCAATGATGAAAGAAACAATTGAAAAAAAATTCATAACCACTCATCAGATCAACTAGCCATGGAGCTCTCTCGCCCCAACCAAAAGAATAACCCTCTTGAATATACCATAATCAAGCCTGATAGTACCCATTCTAGGTCCAATGACTTTATATTATTAATCACAACTATCCCACTGTCAAGCCACATCAATATAACTCAAGCCACAATTGCGTAATCCGTGTACCCAAATATGGGAGATGTATCAAGGAAGAGAACTATATTGCAAGTTCAACAAGCACCACCACAACCACAATGTTACAACCAACTCAAATTTCATGAAGAGGATAACCGTAGGCGCATGTACACAATTCATCAAATACGCTGCTCATGTAATTTTGATCGTAGAGGATGGAAGGCAATGAAATCCTATAAATTATCAAAGAAATAAAATTCCTACATACGGCACGGACAACTCACGTGCCAATAGTATGAATCGCCTGGCATGGTCACAGGCCTCCAGTCCCAGCATATCATACATGAGCAATTAAACGAGTACACTTGTATATGATAATGGAATAAGATTCTCAAGCTCCTGGACTGGTATAAATAGCACGCCATAGTGTAAGCATGTGCAAAGTC